AAAATACCTTAATTCGTGATAATTCAGAACAACCCAAGAAATCCACAAATCTGGAAAATGAATAACAACTCGTCAGCAGCAAGATTTTGCGATAACAAACTTGCTGTTGCGATAACAAACTTGCTACATGTACAACATACCTTACAGCCCTCTCACATGGAGGGTGGAACCTGCGGGACCCACATTATGTGAGAGAACTGTACATTGTACAACATTTAAAAGCTGTACAAACAGCTTTAGAGCTTGTTTGGAAATGATTAAAATCCAATTAAAATTGAAAATATAGTCGTTATTGGGTCCCACTCGTCTAATAAAAATCAACTCCAACACTATATTTTCAATTTTAATCTGATTTTAATCCCTCCCAAACAAGCTCTTATTGTCGGTGCAATCTAATACCGTATATCAAATATGCACGAAGAAAAATCAATAAGCTGGTGAATTGGTGGTTGTGTGTGTAGAGGAGGAGGTAGCCAGCCGGTGACCGAGAGTGAGCTCTATCATCAGTATGACTGGCTCGATCATCAGAGTGGAATTGCTTATATTGCTGCCTTTGTAATGGTGGCGGTCGTGAAGCAATTGGCGCATAGATTTGATTACAAGTGGCAGTTGTGGATTTTGCAGCCATTGCAGCATTATATTCAGGTGGCGGCGCCCACGCTCCTCCCACCACCACAAACTGTACTGCTTATCTGTTGTTATTGAGAATCAAATGACCTGGTCGTCTCCTATGTAGTCTATATTTCTGCAATGAAAGCATAAAAATGTTCATTAGAGCGTAAATCTATTGTACACCACCACTCATAATCGCCAAAATAAGCTATATTCACTTGGCAAGAGCACGTCGTCGAGTAAAAACTTCCACAGCCAATTCCATGCTCAATTTTAAAGAATTTGTACAAGGAAAATATTTTAATTAAACAAACCTGCAAATGACTTTTTACTTCATCATTAGTTAGACCATCAACCTTCATCAAATCCCTAATTTGTTTTGGTGTAGCAACTGTATAATCAGATGAATCCAAACAATCAATGCAAAAATTAAGTCACATATATCTTAGTCAAAGTTCATTTGATAAAAATTATACCCTGTGAACCACCAAGTCTTTGAAGGGCTTGCAAGAATTTTCTATGTAGCTCTGGTGACCAACTCCTCCTAGGTTTTCTTTGAAATTGTCCTTCCTTCTCATCCTCGTTATTTTCACCACCACCACCATCGCCACCTATCTCCTCCACAGAACTGGCGGCAGCCACTGGCACTGACATTCTGATTGGCCCTTGTGAAGTTGTTACACTACTTTTCTCTTTCTGAAATGGAAGAAATGCACCGCCACTTCTAATTCTATTTATCTCCAACACTGACACTTTTCTTGGTGAATCCTGAACCCAAAATTCACAAAATAAGACACCAAATTAACAGAAGACCAAATTTAAATAAATAAATATGTCTTTTATCTATCAGTTTAAACTTTTACACGAGATTATTATACCTAAATTACCTCTTTGGAGGGTGGATCTGGGGTTGGATTCCAAAACTTGACGGACCTAAGCCAGTCCGATTTCTTTGAAACTTTATCATTATTACTAACATTAGTATTATTCTTTGACCTCTTCGATTCTTGTTCGTCATCAACAGAAGTGGCTAAGGTTCTCTTTATAGGAGTAAACTCTTCCAGAACTGACCTTTCACCTGATGTCTGCTCAGGACATTCAGATATCACATTATAATCAAACTCTGTTGTTTTTCCTGATAACTGTTGCTTTCGTGTCTCAATTGCTGAAAACACCAAAATCCCACAAGCATGAAACAATAAAAAACAATGACTCCAACATAAATATATAAAAAAAAAAAAAGACAAAATCTGAAAAAGGGTATCTTTGAAACCTAGTATTTGGGCATGTGTGCATATACACACGTGCCTATATAATTAGGGTTATATACCTTGAGTGACAAGCTCAAGACAAATGGGAGTTCACGGTGAAAAACTTGAATCTTGCTACGTTCTTCTTCTAAAGCTTGGATGTAATCTTGAATTCTCTGCATTTTCTCATCAGAACAATGACTATGACTATTGCAGTTTATGATCATTTTCTTTATTTATTTCTTTACGTTTCTCTCTTATACTCTCCTTTGTATTGCATTATTCACCGTCAAAATTAAAAAATTAAAGGGATTCAAGTAGAAAGAATCATCAATATATACAAATAAAAATAAGAATAAAGGGATCAAAGAAGAATCGCCAAAGGGAATAAATTTGGCTCACAAGGAAAAAAAAATTATTCTACTGTGGATTGCGATTTTAATAACTAAGGGAGGATCCAGGCCAGGGTGTCGCGTAAAAACCGAATCTTTGATTTACGTGTTGTTTTCTGCATTTAGAGAGACAATTGTGGATTTCTGTGTGAAATTTGGATAGATGGGTTTGTATATTTGAAGAGTGCTTCTTTATGTTTCGAAAAGATCTTCTCTCTCTCCTCTCTCTCTAATTATTTTGAAATTTTCTTCCAACTGACCTTCTTTTTTGGCCAATCTTTGATAAGTCATAATAAGCTTTTTGTAATTTAATATCTATGTGTATTCATAAATAATAACGATTTAAAAAAATAAAAGAGTAAAAATATTTCCTGAATGATTTAAGAGATTTTGGGTATCTGTAACTATTCTGTAAGTGTATCTTTTTCCGTGCTTCTTTATGTTTCGAAAAGATCTTCTCTCTCTCCTCTCTCTCTAATTATTTTGAAATTTTCTTCCAACTGACCTTCTTTTTTGGTCAATCTTTGATAAGTCATAATAAGCTTTTTGTAATTTAATATCTATGTGTATTCATAAATAATAACGATTTAAAAAAATAAAAGAGTAAAAATATTTCCTGAATGATTTAAGAGATTTTGGGTGTATACAAAAGTAGAATGCAAACAAGATAAAGAGTTCGAGACGATCAAAATATAACAAAGTCGTCTTGGTCGAGTAAAGGATTGTTTATTCTGATGTAGGTTAATATCGAATAAAAATAGCGTTTTAATTGAAAGATTTTTTTTTAAAGATAAACTTGACATTTCATGAATCCTTAAGTGAATAATGCTATTTTTTTTTTTTTTTCCTTTCAAAAGTAGCGATGTTCAAAATTTTATGTTTTATTCTTGTCGTGAAATTTTGAGAATTGTACCAAACTATAGTTTTTGATTTATGAAACTTTTATTCCAATGGCCCCTTTTTAGTGGGGTGCGCTACAAACATATGCTGATGGCGTGAAAACGACTAGGAATTTGTGTCACCGCTTAACCAAATGTTGCCACAGAATGCATTGGTGGTCATTTATGACTTTTCAGATAGGATCGATCTAAAAAATTTGGAAGTCTAAAAGAATTCCCCCTTTTCATTTTACTAAAAAACATAAATAAAAATAAAGGTATTATATATTAGTTCTTAGTACATTTTTTTCTCTAAAATTTTATCCTTTTAACTTGATCAAAAAAATATCTTTTACAAATTCTTTAAATTAACCAAAAAAATGTAACTAATTATTAATATGTGATGAGCCTATAATTATGGGGCATGTGCAATCGCACTACCTATACACCCTCTGAGCCGACTCTATTCCATAGGTTTCTTGAAACTCTTTATTGGGTCACATTTCTTGGAATGCATACATGCAACGAATTAAGTCATTTTCTCTCCATTCTCTGGTTTTCTCCCTCTTGTGGATTTGGGTTTTAGGAGTTATCTTGGGTGATTTCTTCCATTTTTTTAATAAAAGATTCACCTTCTAAGCGAATTAATGCTAGATCATAAAAGAGGGGTTTGATTTCTGGTTTCTCGTTGGGTTGTGGCCTGTGGGTCATATAGTATAGTGTTGCTAAGGTGAAATAACATTTGTCTTTTCAACTGGCTTAAGAAAGCAAATCAAAAGAAGAAAGATTAGAAAGAGTAAGACTTCCTCAGTATAGTATTGATTTTTTATATTTTAAAAATGAAGCCGCTTAATCGAACTATAAAGAAGGAGAGGCAAATGTGTGTTAAAATTTGAGATTTCATCTTAAAAGGTCAACCTTATTAAGAGGAGAGTCAAAACTCCAAAAGTGAGCATATGAATTTCAAGATTAGTCTGTTCAAACGTGCCACTATCTTGCGTGGCATATTAAGGGATAGAATCTCACATCGAATAAAGATATAAATATAGACCAATTTATAAAGGGTTGAGCTACTCTTCTTAACGAGGCTGACCTTTTAAGATGGAACTCTAAATTCTTAAAATGGTATCAGAGCCCATTTCACTCTACGAGCAATTCGATCCGATTAAGATTCCAAAAAGTGAGCATACAGATTTCAAGATTGGTCTGCTCAAACGAGATACCATTTTAAGGGGGCATGTTAATGGATAGAATCTTACATCGAATAAAGATGAAAACATAGGCCAATTTATAAAGGATTGGACTACTCATCTTAATAAGATTAACATTTTAAGATGGAACATCAAATCTTAACATTGTATCAGAGCCCATTAAATTCAAACGAACAATTCGATTCGATTAAAACTCAAAAAACTTGAGTATACGAATTTCAAGATTCGTCTGCTCAAACAAGCCACCATCTTGAGGGGGCATGTTAAGGGATAAAATCCCACATCATATGGAGATGAAAACATTGACCAATTTATAAAAGTTTGGATTATTCCTCTTAATAAGATTGCCTTTTAAGATGGAATTCCAAGTCTTAACAAGGTGCAGTCGGACTTGCCTCTTGCTTTTTGTCTATGACAAGATAAAAAGGTCTCCACGTCCTTTTTCATAATAAATAAATAGTGGTTCTTGTTTATTTTGCAATATTGCATTTAGTTAATATTGAAAATGTGAATTATAATACCTATGATTAACTGTGAAAATATAATTTGAGTACTTGTGATGAGAAGCATAATGCGATACAATTTATATTCTGATCATAATAATTTAATCACAATTAATGTATAAGGCTACACTACAACAAATGTTACCTTTTACGGCACGCATTTACGGCGTACATATAAGGCATGCCGTAAATAATGACTATTTACGACATGCCTTAAATGCACGCCGTAATAATTCGGTGACTAAAAGTATTTACGGCATACATTGATGGCATGCCGTAAAAAGTAAGCTTTTACGGCATACATTAGTTGCAGGCCGTAAATGTAAGCCCAATACCAATACCCAATTTCAGAAACCCAATACTTGTTTAAAAAAAACTAATTAACTCATTACATTGCATTCATTATACGAGCCCTAACATTATACACGCCCCAAATACATCGAGTCTGAGACTGTCAAATCTCCGTCACCGTGAGACGCCCCTGCAGCCACGCCGCCACCGCACGTCCCTGCAGCGACGCCGCACTCCCCTGTAGCCTGTAGGTGAGTTTTCTATTGATATGTTTTTTCTGGTTTTATCTACTTATTTATTGTTTAAGCATTATGATCTTTCGTTGCTTGTAAATTTTACGAATGGAACGGAGTAGCTCGTCCAATTGTTTGCTCTGGGAACTTGTTTGCTATGTGAAAATCCATTTTCTTTGGAGGTGTTGGAAAGTTAACTGATTGATTTAATTTTGTAAATATTTGATTATCTTTGAGCACTGGTTTGAATCGAAGGATCATCGATTCATGTATCCAATCGACTTTTTATTTAAGACTGTAACTAAATAAAAAGAGTTTGTAGTTGTGCTCTGTTTTTATTTTGGTAGGGAAGGGTCCAAAACTGACACTGTCCATTTGAATCGAACGGCAGAGTGGCAAAAAAGGAGACTCCAAATTTATTGGTACTGTTTGAGTTCTATGATGTTCTATTATATTTGTTTGGTATTGTTTGAGTTCTGTGATATTCTTTCTGGTGGTATTTTGTTCCAATTGGATTTGAGTGAGATTCACATTAATTTCTATTAGAAAAAGATGAGAAAACAGAGTAAAGGAAAGAAGAGAAGAGAGAATGTGATTGATTGTAGGAGGAAAGGAAGGACTAGGAATCTTACCAACATCTCTAATCAACCTTCTTATATAATGATGAATGAGAGGGTAGTGAACAACATCTCTAATCTTTCCTCTCTAAGCTAAAAGTAAGACCGTACGGTATGTATTAACTGAAAATTGCCTATTGAAAATGGATAATTTTTCCTCTCTAAACTTTTGCAAGCCCTAATTTCATTGTTATCTTGTTCAAAAGCTATGGAGATGCCATTTGGAGTCACCATGCCAATTCTGTGTATAGTCCTTCTCACAACGGATCAAGTACTATAAATAATTATCCATTTTCTATCTACTGCTTTGTCGTCTTCTTATTCTTGATCTGTATGACTGTATGCACAGATAGATGGTGTAGTTTTGACTAATTTATTATTTTGGATTGTGATTTTTCCTTATTGCAGAAATAATTAAATGTAATACGAGTACACTTGGAGTTTATTGAACAGACCACGTGTCGAATTTAATTATATAACACGAACTTGGGAAAAATTAAACTCCACATGTTTGTCAAGTATTCATCTAAATCTCTGGACATGATTGTGTATATTTTTCTATGAGTTTAATATTTATTTGATTAACTTATAAGTGAGATTAATTTAATTGATCAAATATCTCGATGAGTTAAGATCTTGAGAATGAGCGAAATAGAAAAATATAAATTTGTGTTGAAACCATTGTCCTCAAAAATGAGTAAAGTGATTAGTTACGTTTTTTTTTTAACAATTATAAATCTGAACTTAGTATTTAACAACGAATAAATATCGACATCGGTGATTAGTTTACATGACCATGGAAGAAAATGATACTTAAGTTAGTGTGAATAATTTGATGGTTAAAACGATAATTTGTTTTGTACCCAATTATCAGATCCCGAATATGGATAAAATATATACGATAGGTTGGAGGAAAGTATTGATTATCGAATATGGATAAATTCCAATGCCTTATTTTTTTTTATTATAACATACACGTGAACAATTATTAATGATCTTCAATTCTTGAATTTTAAAAAAAAAAAGGAAAAAAAAGAAAGAAAATTGCGATGAATTT